TTTTTAAATGTTTCTTTTTCAAATATTTTTTACAAATTCATTGTGATTTTGGTGGTACTTATTTTAATGGTATTTTTATCAATAATGCTAAATAGAGTTATATACTCTGAAGTTAAAAAGTTGTTTAAGTTCTTTAGTTTATAAAAATCTCTTTAATTTTTACTAGCTCTAATATAGCTCTCTAAATTGTTAACTGATGTTTTCCTATTATGTAATTGTTTAGCATCTTAGTTAAAAAAAGAGTAAAAAACTGACACTAAGTTAAAACTACATGATTCTTGGTTTTTTTGTTTTTTTTTTTTTGTTTTGTTTTGTTTTGGTTTTTTTTGTTTCTCTTGAGTTTCTGTTTTTTGATTCTTTTTTTTGAGGAAGGCCAGTGCTTTTGCCAGTCAAGAGAAATGATCACATTTGATTGACTGACATGTTAGCCATGCTGGAAGCTTGAACTGTGTAGCATTCAATAACTATTGGGTCAAGAAAGTATAACTTCTCTAAATCTGTGACTAATCAGAATAAGCTTTTAAGGATAAGATCTCTATTTTAAACACAACATGGATTTCTGAAGTTGCTATTTACAGAAACTGTTAACAGTCTTTTGGACATTTTTTACCTTTTCTGAGTGTCTGTGATTTCAACCTAGCACAATAACTGAGTAGAAGAGGGATTATCGTCTTGGCAGGAAGCAAGTTACTCTATTAGGACCACACAGTGAATATTCCAGATTATCTAAAGCAATCAGATTTCTGTAGAAATGGTTATGGGAGGATTTGATTCATACTTTTGGGGGGGAAGGCTGTATGCCACTTTGTGACCCTGAGCAAGGAAACTGTAATGTAAAGTAATTGCAGTGATAGGAATCAGCAATTAAAGAAAATTAATAAATGCATATGTAAGGAAAAATTCTTTCTCTATAATTTTCGGTTTTCAAAAGCTAGGCACAAGCTGGTGAAAATCGCTGGAAGTCTTTTCACAGTGGATCATTCCACATCTTGTAATACCAGCTCTTGAATTGTGTCTGCCAGGATTCTCTCTGGTATTTTGCTGGTATGCTCTCCCTCCCCAGAGCCAAAGCCAATTACTTGCCTAGCTCCTGATTTTACTGGGAGGTGAATTGCCACATCAGGGCTCTTGTCAGTAGAAGCTTTCAGCCTGGGGATGTGCTTGCAGCATTTTCCATTGATGTGGCTGAGGAGATCTGTTCAGAGGCACAGACCCTGTCTAGATGAAGTCCTAGTTGCATATATAACTGTGGCAGTGAAGAACGTTGTGCTTCAGCCCAGCAAAGCCACGTACTTCCCAGATGACTCCTGTCGGTGCTGTATGCTTACTGTGAATATTTTCTTCCACAGTGTTTGAAACAGGGTTCTTTTTTTTTCCAAGATATTTCATTTGCTTTGCAGCAGCATTGAGTAAGACAGGTAGTAGTTGTGTTTCAGTCACTTTAAGGCTGTCAGGAGGAACAATATATGAAATGAAGTCTCCTGGTGTGGCATGGAGGCTGCCTAAACGTGATAGCATTGAGAGAAGGCAAGAGCCATGTTCAGCTCCACGTGGAGTTAGTTTGACTGGCAATGACTAGCAACAGGACTATCAGCGATTGCTGACATCAGTAGTAACTACTTCAATAATACAAATGTCTCTTTTACTTGAACTGTGAGATATTGAATATATTGTTGCTGTATATAGCAATAAATCTTAAAGGCATAGAAAAACTTACTTGTGTACATAAAAAAGAAACAAGATGCATCCACACTTCTGTACCAGTGAGTCCAGCAAGCCTTTGTGATTTCTATATTTGCTAGAAGCCATGTACATGCTCTGTAAGCTATCAAGCCTTCCAAATGCTGCTTCCAGGTGTATGCACTGCAATTCTGCCTGATTGTGGGCAAGTCATTTAACAGTTTTGCACCCCTGTTAATTTTAATCTGCCTTATTGAGTGATCCTTTGGATAGAGATTATGTTTTTGCTAAGTACGTGCTCTTTGCCTTGTAGAAAGTGTTGAGTCTCAGATTGCTAGATGTTACCTAAAAATCTCTATATTAGATTATAATAGGCAGAGCAAAAGACCGCTTGGCTTAGCTGAAAACTTCTGTATCTGCTCAAAACCAAAAGAGAAGCAGAACAGAGATGGAAAAGCAGATGAATACCTGTTGAGAACTACAGGAACATTTCCAGGGTACGCAGAGGTGCAGTTAGAAAAGCAAAATCTCAGCTTGGATTGAAATCAGTCAGAGATGTCAAAAACTACAAGAGTTCTTCAGGTATGTAAACAAGGATCAGAAACAGAAGGAAAATATTGGCCTGCTGTTAAACAGGAGATGTGAATTAGTCACCAACAACGCTGAAAAGGCAGAGGTTGTCAATGCTTTCTTCATCTCTGTCTTTACCAGCACTAGTGTGCCCCAGCTCTTGGGAACAAAAATCCAGGTCGATGCAGACAGATCCACTGTCAGTGAAGGAAGAGTTGGTATGTGAACTGTTACAGGAGCTTGACCCCTACAAAGTAATGGGCCCTGATGTTACCCACCCGAGAGTGTTAAGCGAGCCAGCTGATATCTTTTGTGAGGCTGTTCTCCATAATCTTTGAGAAGTCATGGACGTTGGGTGATGTCTCAGAAGACTGGAAGAAGGCTATGTCACCCCCATCTACTAGAGCACTTAAAGGAGGATCCAGGAAATTATGGGCCCATCAGTCTTACTTCAATCCATGGGAAAGTTATGGTACAAATCCTCCTGGGGGTTATCATAAAACAAATGAAGCATGTGGTTGAGAAAAGCCAGCACAGATTCACCAAGGGCAAAACATGCTTGGCAAACCTGATCGCCTTCTACAACAAAGTAACCTGCTCAGTTGATGTGGGGAAAGTGGTGGACATTGTCTACCTGTATTTCTCCAAGGCTTTCAGTATGGTTCTCCACAGCCTCCTCCTAGAGAAACTGATGCTTTACGGTCCAGGAAAGATTCTTAACAAGCCAAGAATTTTCATATGTATATTAAAAAAAAATGCAGTGTGTTTATCATGCTAGACTAAACATTGACAGAGTTTGAATAGGAAAGGCTGAGAGAGTGAGGTTTGTTCAGCCTTGAGAAAAGAAGGCTTAGGGAGAACTTATCACCATATTACAGTATTTAAAGGGTGGCTAGAAAGCGGATGGAGACTTTCTTTTTGCAAGGAGTGACATGGGGAAGACAAGAGATAATGGATACAAGTTACTCCCGGGGAGATTGCGATTGGAAACAAGTGGAAAATTTTTCACAGTGAGAAAAATCAGCAGTTGGAATATCTCCCCAGGGAAGTGGTGGATTCCCCAACACTGGACAGTTTTAAGGTTCAGCTGGACAGGGTGCTGGGCCATCTTGTCTAGACCGTGCTTTTGCCAAGAAAGGTTGGACCAGATGATCCTTGTGGTCCCTTCCAATCTCGTATTCTATCATTCTATGACATTTTTGGGAAATGTCCACTTGGAGAATAACGTAGCTTTGTGGCCTGTTCCATTTGAACTGATGGAGGATGTTGAATGCAGTGAAAGCTCAGTGAATGCAGTGAAAACACTCCTCCTCATCCTTTGTGCCTGATTTTTATTTTTAAATCTAGATCATTTTGATCACTGCATCATCAAGCATGCTAAGTATTGCTTTTGCTGTCTTGGATTTTGTTACATCAGGATGTCAAAGAGAGTCTAAACTTTCCCTGAAAATTTGCCTGCCCTACTGAGAGATGTGGTGATTCTGTGGTCTTTTGAATTGTAATGTTAGGTTTGGGAGGAAAGAAAATTTGTTTGTGTTTCAATGGGTTTATTCTGTATGTTTATTATTACAGCCTTCTGGGAAGTTTTCGTGCTCAGCTGACAATGTAACTTATCAATTATTGTTATGGAAGAGTCACAAGAGCTGTATTCATTCACGTTTGGCTTAGGTACATGTTAGCTTTGCCCAGACCTCCAATCCTGCCAAAGCCCAAATGTGGAATGTGATGAGTATGGTAAAGACTGGACTGGTGAAGAGAAAAAAAGCCATTCATGCAGAAAACCTAAGATTCTGCCTGTAGTTAATATAATAGACTATTATAATGTATTTTGTTATGCTTTATTTCTGATGTGTTGGCAGTTTTTAGTTTCTTCTGATTTTTCTGTAGTAAAGTCAGTTTAGTTGGTTATTCTTCCTGTCCCTAAAAGGTACTTGGTGAAATCATGCCACCTTCTTTTGATGAGTGGCATTATGGCAGGGCTGGCATTTATATTCCTCTGCATGTGTGTTTCTAGCCCAGATGACTAGGGATCACTTTGAGTGATCGCTGCTGGGAATGGTCTTCAGAGAGGGGTTCCCAGGATTGGTTTTACACTAAATAAACAGAGGTAGTGGGGTGAAAACTGTGATTCATTAGGAACACTAGATTATGTTAAAGTGATAAAAATAGCTGCAGGACATCTTAAATTAGTTTAAAAATTAGAAAAGTGAAAGAGAATCTAGAGTATTTTGTAAATGGTCCACTTTTCTTTTGAGAGTTCCCTGCCTTACTCTCCTCTGTTCAATATAACTAGGTATATAATCCAAAGAGATAGCTGAAAAGTTTCAGCTGTAAAAGACTCAGAGTCTGTAAGCATAAGATTTTTTAGGTAGTGCTGTCAGTACTACTGTTTGTCTTCTCTGTTCTGCCAAAACATGTTCCTGGAAGTTTTCTATTCTGGTTTTAGGCAAGATGCAAGAAATGGAAGTAAAATACCAGAAAACCCTTCTATGTATTGCAGATAAACTTCCTACATCATTCATTACAATTGCTTTCATTATTCATGGAAATGTTCCATAATAGACTAGTGAACATATATGTTGTATGTTTTATTTTAAAAAGAAGTAATTATTTGAGTCCTACCCATATGCTCATAACAGAATGTTGCGGACATTAATTTTTTCAGGCTTGCACAATGGCAAAGTTAGAATGACTCTGCTTTCTGCAAATACTCTGTATTAAAAAGATATGCTTTATGTTTAACTTTGCAGATCCAGAATGCTAATGATGTGCTAATAGCACCACTGGAGAAGTTTCGTAAAGAGCAAATAGGAGCAGCAAAAGTAAGTGTCTGTGGAAACAGTTCTTTTTCATTTCATGTTTATTTGAGTTTATCAGTGTGTTTTGAAGGCTGGACTGAAAACAGGCATTTTTCAAACATACTTGATGCCATCCTCATTAATGTGTTAGTAAATGATACTGAATTCTGTGCTTCAGAGGAGATAGTTTAGAAATCGAGTTTAAAGGCTGATTATATGCATAGGGTACAGCTCTTGCTACTGCTGCACAGTCTTACCATCTGGAATTGTGTTCACTTCTGATGCCTGCATTTACATTACACTGCATCTTGGGTTAACCCAGAACCACACAGAGGGTTCAAACAGTTGCTATGGGTGCAGTGGGCCTTTAGTGGCTATTGTAGAAAGACTGAAAAGAAGTCAGTGCACTTTAGGCATACTCTCTCCATCTCTGCTTTCCCTCTCCACTTTACATGGCTGATGCAGTGTAGTAATTCATATTCATTTTGCCAGAGTATTCATATTGCCTAGTGATTTTCCCATGGTAGAAGTGCTCCAGTTAGTGATTTAAGCCAGTTCTTTGGTGTTGTTACATCTGTGTTAGAGAAACAGTTCAGGTTATCTATACCAGGGTTCAGTAGACAGCCTAGGAAATCAGCTGTTTTGGGGAAAAATATGTTGGAACTAACTGTTAGTCTAGAAGAGCTATTTTCAGTGTGATCCTGGATTCTTAAGTAGTTATCAGTGACAGCTTTGATCACAATCTCAGAGATGCATATAGGCTACAGTAGTCAGTTAGAGGTATGGTTAGTAACTGTTTCTTCTGTCTACATAAATATGGTAGTCCTGAAGCATTTTACATCTTGTATCGGTGCTCAGAAAATTTTCTGGGAAATTTTTCATTTGTAAGGTTAAATGGGTACAAAAAAAATCTCTCTTTGATGTTGTAGTTGTACTCAAACAACCTCAGAAGAAGAACAGAACTATTGGAAAGAGTGGCTGAAGGTTTATACTTTTTGTACTGCTATTGTGAATGTGTAGCAAACAAATGAGATTGCTTCCGCAGAGGAACTAAGTAAATATTTGAGAAGAATTTTTACTGTGAACTTGAGGTCAGGTTTCTCTGAAATGGATGTTCTTTACCCTTTTACTTGATATGTTTTTGTGTACAACTGCATTCTTCTCTTGTCCCACCCCTATGCTGCTTTGAGATGCAGGGCTGGGAGTTTATTTACCGTGCTGCACAAATCAGAATTTAGTCTGAGCACAAAATTATGTTTAGTTTTCAGTAGATTTTAGTTGCATTGTTTAGTTCTTATTGTTACCATTTCATTTCATATTCCTGTAGTTCAAGGGATATCGTTCTTCTCTGCAGAGAGCCCTGTTTGAAAGCCTAACCTGCCACACTATTGACTGTCCTGGTACATCCAAGAGATGATCCACACGTGGTTCACAGGGCACTCTGCAGAACTGCATAAGACACTGATGTCTCCTTTAAATGTATCACTCAGTAGATGTCAACACATATTTAATGATCTAATTGTCCATGACTCCTTTGTTTTCTGAATCAGCAAGTATTTAACATTAAAGGCAAGGCACTGCAAGGCAAGTTGAGTCCTCTCTGCTTGGTATATTACAATGGCTGGTTTCTTTTCCTTGTCCCTTCCAGATAAAATTTGGGCATTTTCCCATCTTATATAATTTGGAAACAGTGATCATTTTGACTTGTCTGTGGTCATACAACAGTGTACTGAATGAGTTTAGGAGAGAGCCTGGCTCAGCTAACTCTTATTCTACTGTCTAGTGCATTTTATTATGCAGCACTGTGTGCATTTTGGGCAGTCCAGGATACTGGCTTGACACATTCATACCATATAGAGAGCTCTCCCAGCTCACTGGTTCATAAAATGTCACATAAACTTGTCTTTTCTTGCACTGCTCATGGAGTTCAACTGTCAAGCTCAAAAATGAGAGATTCAGACCACCTGCATAACCCAGACTGCAATACAAACATTCGCCTCTGGATTGATTTTTATCAGCGGAAGCAATTACAGTTGGCTTTTAACTAAATGGAATTAACACAGAGTGAGAGATTAATTATATTTAATACTGTTTTCCTAGTAATTTCAAAATAGCAACATATGATCTAGGAATAACGGGACCAGTATGAAATTTGGGCTTTATGAAAATCATTGTTAGTAAAGTAGAGAACATGGTCAGATTGCTTACCTCCACTTCTGTTCACTGAGTTCAACCCTTGAGCACTTATGAACTCATAAATACGGGATGAGTTGAGCTTGCTAGTTATTTATTCCAGTTAATGAAGGTTTGCACAGAGATTTGGCTCTTTGAATTCCTCTGGGGTGATCTGAACTGATAACCAAACAAAAAACATAGATGCTTTCTTGCTTAGATTTCAGCAGCAAGTTTCACAGGACACTGAGAATGTCACTTTTTGTTGAAGGTCTTCTCTAAACACATCAGCTGTACGGACCATGTATCAACTGTTACTTTTTGCTCTGGAATATCAGGTTTGAGCTCTTTTTTCCACTAGAATTAACTTACAAGAGTGTGTAGAAGTGTATTCATATCAAACCCAAACTCACTCCTATCATTCCTCTCCCCTTTACAAAAAAAACCCAGAACATTTGTGGGTAAGTGTTCCTCTCTAAAGAGAGACTGAGACGGTGCAGACTCCACATGATAGCTGACAGTTATGTTGTATTATATATTTCTAGAGCTGTGATTTTACAATTAATTTTCATCATAACATCTTATGGACTGACATTTTAAGAGATTAGATATAGAAGCACGAGGTTAACTGTGTATGCCTTTTGCATTGGCAATTTCAGCATTAGCTACAGGTGTAAGCAGCTGGTCTTTGTGATCAGCTTTACATTATGAGAGTGTATTTTATAAGCAGTGGTGAGTATTGGATTCTCTCTCTTCTAATTGGACTTTGAAATTAGTAATTTTAGTACCCCATTAAGGTGTGTTTCCAAATACTTCAGAGGAAAAAAAATTATCAGATAGTTATGTTACCAATATACATACAGAAAATTATACTAGATACTACTCCTCAATTTTAGTGAGGGGAAGATTACGAGAGAGCATGCTTAAAAGTGCTTGCTGGGTTTTTTTCTTTCTTTTCTAAAACAGCAGATAAAATTCAGCTGGAGATAAAATTATGTAGTCCTCCCCACCACCCCACCACACACACACGCAGAAAAAAAATAGAAAATGCTATAAATTAATTACAGTTTTCACTATGACAGTCACCATTTTATTTTAATAATAAGTAAGTTCTCAAGATTTTTGCTATCACGATGAACTATGTAGAACTATCCTGTTGTGTTTAATATAGAGAATGAGAATATGTTATTCTTTCTTCAAAACTATATCAAGTTTAAGAAAAAAGTATGATCACAGAAATCAAAGAGAACATGGAGGATAAAATACATCCTGTTGATGTTACAAAGCTATATTTCAAATACAAGGACAGCATAAATCCAGAGTGCAAAGTTCAAGTGTTTTTGGAACATCACAAGGATAACATTAAAAACCAATTCTTCACATGCACTTCAAAAACCTGAAGGTACCCAAAAAGTTTGAGAAACATTCCCCATAAAACATTAGTGTTTGTAATCAACCCAGCAATACACAATTCTACATCACTCGTTCGTCTCGATTTATACTACTTGCCCTTCTGTTTTTATTGCACATATTTCAGTTCTTCCTTTTCTGTACACACTCAGTTTAAATAAAGCTGAGTTCTCTCCAGAGACTACACAAACGCAGCTTTGCACTGGATAGCCTGTTGATTTACTCCATCTGAGTTAAAAAAAAACGACCTCTGCAATTATTGTAGAAACACGAGCAAAAGCCGGGTGAGGTAACTGGGAAAGGATTTCAGGCATGAAGCATTTTGCCTTATTTGGTAAATGTGGTTTGCAAGTCCCCAGCTGGTAACTTTGGTGAGATCATTGTGTGATGTGTTACGTACAATAAGGCCAAATTTTCATGTGTCTTTTTATCCACTGAGTACAGTATTTAGCAATATTTGTTCCAATGTTCATTGACCTTTAATAAAACTTAAATCAGATCAAAGACAACAGAAGCAATTTTGGTTTTAAGACTTAAAAGGAGAGTTTTGTTTCCTCCTTATGATTCCATCTGTTTGTTTCTTAAAATTATTTATTTTGGCCATGAGGATTATTTTTATTATTCTTTACTTTCATTCATTCATTCGAAGCTGTGAATTCCTTTCTACTTGGGAAACAAATCCATGTTCATTGCTGGGATTAATTTTCCTGCATCTATGGTCACGTCTATACTCACATGATGTTGGCATGCAGGAGCTGGCACACTCTCTCTGTGTTTTATTCGGATTGCCTGGAAGTTGAGGAACACAAATAAAACAAAAAAGCCCTGATATTTTTTAAGTCTGTCAGAAGGCTGTCAATACCGAATTCTAGATAGGTATCTAAAATCAATGAGAAATGCCAGAATGCCCATTTTGTGAACTGGTTTCCTTAGTATCTAATCAAATTATAGCACTTCTTGTCTTTTAACTGAGAAAAATGAATGACCTTGCTCTAGTAGGTACGGTGGAAGGTGTTTCATTATAAGCAGCATCTGTTACTCAAGGTACTTGTGTCCACTAGTTCTGGGATATTTAATGTCAGTCTGAACCATAGAAGGGAGGGGTCCAGGGGAAAGAAGCAGAAATAGAGACCAGACCAGGATAATTGATGGCCAAATGTTTTAAGTTAAAATGCAATACATTTTTCCAAAACTGGTTACTACCAGAGTTACCTGATATCTTTTTTGATAAGATTACTTATTCTGTAGGCAAGGAAATGCAGTGGATCAAACCTATTTCTATTTCAGCAGGGCCTTTAAATCACTCTACATGAGATATTATAATTTAGTTTAGATGGGGGTTAGTATAAGAGACCTGATGTGTCTAACAAACTGGCTAATGGGTAAAGGGCAATGAGTTTTGTTTATGAGAGAAATTGTCTGGTTAGAGAGAAGTTACTTAT